GTCTGTCTTCAAAACTGGCCCGATCCTTCCCTTCTAACACCCTGTCTATCTCCTCTTGACAGCGCTCTGAGAGATAGCGCAGAGAGGGGAGGGGGAGGAAAGGATACTGCTCACATCACATTGCTTCCATTACAAAGAACAGAACAGAAAGTAACAGAAAGGAGTCAAATCAGCAGCTGCTGCTAAAAAAAAAGGTTGCATGTAGCCAACGTTAAGTTATCACTGATTTAATTAAACACCTGGCAAGGACGTTAAGTGACCCAAATAAAACACCCCCTCACAATGTTGCATTTACATAGTTCTTTTTATTAACTGGCCATTTTTGTTTAGATGACTTACTTGTTATCTGAGTATATTTCTACAAAAGCAGTTCTATAAGTACAATTTCTTTAACGTAACTGTACTCTTGTTTACAGTGTAGTATTCTCTTCATCCTGGCCTGTTTAGAGGTAAATGGCGAAATGATAGATGGCTTGAATGACCAATGCATTAAACCAGAAATAAGACATGCAAAAATATTAGTTGCATTGCATGAAGTGTCCTGGCATGCTAGATGGTTGCAAGTCTTACTGACACACCTAACGGAGCAGATCCTTCATTGATGTTATCAAGTAATTAAGGTCATTTCCCTAAATTGTCCAAAAGACCAAATGGAACTCTTGAATCTTGTCTGGTTAGTGTGCTCTCTTCAAGTGATGTGGTCCAGTACAGGATTTCTGAGGCTGCTACTGAAAAAATCCCAATAATGATTGACATTCACGGTCAATATTCATTTTCTTTCCACAACCCATAGCATTAATAAATGTTTTTTTTTATATGGTTCCCTTAAATTAAGAGAAATGCTATCAAGAAAGGAACTACATTGTGAATTATGAATAATTAGCATTTCTGTACTTCAATTTCTTCTTTATTTACCAGCATTTTTTACACCTGTGTTTTTTAGTACAGTGACAAAATGTCTTCTGTGAAAGAGGCCTATGTTGGAAAGCCTATGGCACATTGCTGGAAAGAAGACAGTAGCTAATTGTCAAAGCTTAATGAGGAGCAATGCAGGTTTTATTCTAGACAAGGACCAGTCCTGGTCTAGCAAGTGCATTATTGTAATTAGGAAGAGTGGACAATATTTGGGCTAAAATGTGCGTTTACTTCTATAACACAGTCTGCCTGAGTTGACTTATACTGTCTTTGTATAACTGGAGTGACAGCTTTGTCTATATTCTAAGCAAAAAGTCTGTATTCTTAGTTGGTGTTGGGCTCTTCTGATTATAAATTTAACAGAAGGAATTCCTGGGCACGAAAAATTGATGGATGTGAAGATAAAGATTTAAAATAGATGAACTATGGAGCTAATGACATCAAAGTGATAACTCATATTTACATGTGCTGGCATACCTTGCATCTGTGGTTTGCTCGTAAGGTAGAGGAAAAGAGTAAGCATGGTGTTGGAGGTCGTGTCAGTCCCAGCAAAGTGAAGGTCTAGAACGAATGTACACATTTGGTCTTCTGAAAATGTAGAATCTTCTGTGTCCTGAGAAAAAGAAGAGTGTTTTATGGTGAATAAAGAACAATCAAATACATACCACCTGAGGCAAGCACTGATGCTGCCCTGTTGTCTTTGCAAACTTGAACTTCTTACAGACCACTGATCCTGATGCTGTGCTCATTGTTGCCAGAGACTTCAGCCAGGCTAACCTTAAAAACTTCAATCAAGAGAATCCTGACGGGAACTATCACTGGTATAGAAACAGGACCACAAGGCCCTGCAAAGAGTGGCTTGCTGAATGTACAATAAGTGGTGCTCTATGCAGCCAAAAAGACATTTATAGCAGACATTGCAAGAATAAGGCTAGGAGAGTCATCAAGGATCCAACCACCCGTATAATGGCCTTTTCTCCCTGCTGCAATTGGGAAGAAGGTAGCACTAAAAGGCCCATTACTATTAAAAATACTTTTTACTTTAATTTGCTCACATCATTTCGATAGTAACCACTATTATTTATTACATTTTCTATTGTTCATTTCTATTACTATTTTGTTTTTACTGAACAAATTGTATGGGCTAACTGTAGTTTTTAATTTCACTACCTGAACCTGTATTATTATATGTGACAATTAAACTTAAACTTGAACTGATACACACAAATACGCATTAAGGGGTGTAAAAAGAGTCAGCTTACTACCACACACACATTTTGTTAGTGAGCTGACTCTTTTAAGCCACAATACACACACACCTTTTCCATTTCATCCAGATAGGAGTCAATGAAGTCTCGCGGTTGTCCAAGGACTCTGGTCTTCTTATGCTCAGCCAACAAGACACGCACAAAATCCTCAGAAATCTGAAAAACACAAAGGCAGACTCAGATTACAGGAGTTTTAAAATCCTAACTGATTTTGCAATCAGGTTGTATCACACACATAAGGAGAAAGTTCACACACTCTGAGATTATTGTACCAGAGGAAGTAATGCACCACCTTATGTGATCTCATGGGGATATAAAGAAAATGGAGAGTGACATAGTGGAACAATTTGTTGTTGAAACATTAAGGCTTTGCAGTGAGAGAGAAAAAAAAGCAGAAGGGCAAACAAATCTGGATAAAAAAATGTCTAACTCTTCAGCAAAAACTGGAGGTGAGATTTCAACTGTCAGTATGCTTGCTAACGTTAGCCTCAAAGGCAAAAAAGTTTACTGAAGTTTGGCAACACTTTTTAAAAAGAAAGAAGAAAGTCGCAAAATCTAGGGAGAAGGTCACAAAGTTGGCAACATTGGCCTCTCTATGATTGTTTTTGTGTGTGTAAGAGTGTGTATGATGTAGCATAGAGCTAATTCATTATTTGTTTCTTTCTTTGTGAATATGTGTTGGTTGTCACTAAATATTTGTTTGACGTTAGAAGAAAAACAATCCATTGTACCACTGATGTTCATATCTCTTTGTCTCTTGCATATTTAATCCTCAATATATTAATTTTGATATAAATATGAATATTAATAAAAAACATAATTTTTTTATTCAGGCTTTTTTCACAATATATAAGACATATTTACAATAAAGGCCAGATTAACATACCTTAACATTCTTGAAGAGCTTGGAGACTGGAAGTGGCAGTTTACGAAGTATGGGAAAAGCTTCACACAGCTGTAAAAAAAACAACAACAAGTTAGTAATAATTACTTAATTTAAATTCAAACCCACATGCTTCCTGGCATTAACTGCTCTAAACAGATTATTTTATTAGATATTTTACTAGAATAAATAACTACTAAGTAACTGCTGGAGGTAACTCTTCAAAAAGTTGCAAAACAGCAAGACACCAACAGCTACTGCAGAAGTATTGCATAACTATGGATGGTTTATGAAGGCAGTACTTTAGGCAGCCCAATAGAGCTTCTGGAGAACGATGTGGCCAAACTTTCTCATCCGAACCCTAGGGTTACTAGAAAAAAAGGGTTACTAGTTAGTAGTAACTTGGGATCTTAAAAACATGCTTTGACTCACCGTAGAGCTGAGTCCATTGAGTATCTTTGCATTCTCGCTGTAGCCTTTAATAACCACTTTGATGAAATCGTCATTGAGATCGTAGCGTGCATTAAACAGAACCCGGCAGACGATGTTTGAGGTTGCTACATAAATCATAGATTCAGGACTCATGGTTTTGCCTGTAAAAGACAAGGTGTAGACTTAAGTATCACACAACATTGTACAAGAATACAAAGGAACATTACCATAGCACAATGAAAATTTAATGTGGAAGCACACGCTCCTGCAGTGAGCAGGAAGTGGCGAGAAAATAAAGGCCAATGGAACACGGTGGAGGCCTCTTTAAAATACTCTTACTTTAAAATACACTGACATATATGGATGGTACTCAGATGTCAGTGTCACTAATTAAAGTTAACCCTGCCTTTTGTATGAGGATTGCATGGATGACATGATGACATACCAATGTTTTTATCCAGTGTATCGATCATGAATTTTATCTCTTGATGAATCTTCTCCTCCATGGCACTCTTCCCCATACCAAAGTTCCTCAAGTTTGTGAGGGCAAAGCGACGATGGCCTTCCATCTGGGGCCATAATCTGCCAGAATCACTCCTGCAACAGGTTTAATGACACAAATGTAAAATTGTCTCAAAATATCAGTCTGATGTGATCATTGCTGTTCTATTCCAGAGCATATCTACTTTCCATCCTGTTTTGTTATTTACTCTCCACAATATTGACAAACCTGAGACATTGTGGAATGGGGGAATAGTTTCAAGACAAAACGATTATATTCAGTGAGCTTTTCTCATTGACATTGTTCATAGTTAGTTACACTTCAGATTCAGCCTCAGTGGGAAACTATGCTTTCCTGGAACTACAAGATTCTGGCCAAAGTTTTTCATCTCAGGCAATCTATTAGCAAGTAATAAGCAACTACTATTTCACTTCATGCTAGAAGCGAATACTAGAAATTCTCCAAGTCATTCCTGCATCACTTGAAGAAAACTGTCCTGAAATCATTAGTCAGATTAAGGCCCTTGCAGAGTTCCTCTCATTAAAGTGATAATCTTGTCTCCAAACCCAGTCCCCCAGTTTTAATTTTTGGCACTGAACCATTGACATACATACACCGAATGTATGAAAATGTTCACTTGCTGCCTAATATATCCCACCCACTCACAGGTGCCACGATAACCAGATTTAGTTTTATTCACTTCACCTGTCAGTGCTCAGAATGTTATGGCTGATTGGTGTATACAATTAATATCACATTTGTGGTCCTACCAGCCCTAGAATACAATATAATAATAGTTAGAAAGGTGGCATTACTTTTCCCTTTTAATTGGTTTTCTTTGGAGAAACAGTAAGCCCACGATAGCCTAAAAGAAATTCATAGAACGATATGTATACTAGCTGAACATAAATTGGGCAGCTGTTAATGATAAATATATTTCTTGCAGATGATGATGGATTAACTGCATGGTTACATGTTATGGTTTATCAGTTAGAGCCTTACCTCCTTTAAAGAGTTTATTTTACAAACATACATATAGTCTAATTAAACTCATTAAATGCAATTGTACTTCAACACTTCCCTTTGTTGTATTATTATACATACAGTACATGCATAGAACGAGACACACTCCTGACATATGCACTCTGAATGTCTAATTACTTTTCTTTTTTAGTTAGCAAAGTTTGATAAAACAATGTCTGCCGTATGACATATTGTGTCTGTGTTACCTTCATTTTCGGAGAGGTCAGCCACTAACATGCCTTGGGGTCGTCCGGCAAAATCTTTGGCATTGGTCACAAGAGCCTCCCTTACGGCCTTAATCCCATTGACGATCACAGCCGGTCTGGAACCGAAGAACAGACTGTATACATTTCCATAGGTCTTCCTCAGCTGGGAGAGAATGAGAAAACATGTCAGTGTTTGAAATACATATATATCACACAATTATAGATGGATATTACTCTTTAAAGGGACAATTCACTGGAATCACAAGAACATATTTTGCCCACTTAGTTTAGTTCAGTCTTAAATGTCTCACATGGGACATTTGGCTTGCAGCATGGCAAAAACAGACAATATCAGACTCATCAGCAGAGCGCGAAATTAACTTTTTTGCCCACATCCAAATATCTAGTAAATGCTCAAATTCAACAATTACAGGCATCATTGTATGTTCTGAACTTGTTTATTCATTCTAAGAAAACCAGTCAGGAAAACGTTACATTTGTGTGTTGGTCATTAAATAAGTTTCAAAACAGAAGTGAAAATAATGTCATTGCTATTCCTAAGATGTATCTATTGGCCTTTTTAGCATTTTACTTTAAAATTGTATTAATGCATTTGATATTAATTTGCACAAGTGAATTTACTTCTCTTTATCCAAAATAGCTTTCTGGGTACAACTCTGCAAGAGTATCTGTGCGCTTCTACTTTCGTACAGCATCTCTTTCTGTGAAATAACTCTTGAAACTCGTACTGTTTGGGAAAGCAGTACATTGGCCACTTAACCATTTTTAGAAACATTTTAAGTACTAATAATAGTAATTACATTAATGGCATACGATTCATCACCAACAACATTCATTGAAGTATTATTTCTTACCCTCTCAAAGTCATCCAAGGGGCTTCCTACGGTCATTTCCAAAAGGTTCCCCAGTACTGGCACCAGAGGGGGTCCCGGTGGAAAGTTCTTGGGCCTCCGGTTTGTGAGTTGAAGGAGGATGAAAGAGACACAGAGGCCATAGCAGGTGGCTGAAAGCAAACATGGTGGAACTGATTGGAGTCAACTGAAGGGGCGAGCTGTGTGACTTGTTTTTAAAGTGCAGCTCAGCCCTACCTCTTTCAGTTGTTTACTTTGCTTCCCTGTGTTAAAGGTGAATAAGAACGTCAAACCTGGTCACACACCCTGAAAGGCACAGGTTCTAACTATTTACTATAAACATTAGTTTACCTGTTGCTAAATTGGTTCAATTAAATATCATTTAACAAAGCTAATATAGGTCATGTCATTGCTTACCGGTGGATTGGAATAAAGCTAATGAGTTGTAATGTAACTAAGTATATTTACATATATATTTATAGTATTGTACAAAACTGAGGTACTTTTTTTGCATACAAGATATGTGAGTCGTTGATAAAATATTATGTTTTCTGATATATCAAACTACCCAACTGTATAAAGTACAGCTGAAGTGATTACACAATAAATTGACAGACAGAAAATTAATTGGAAACCATTTTGATAAATAATGCAGAGATACCAAACATTCCACAGTTCCAGCTTCTTAAATGTGAGGGTTTGTTTCACCTTTTAATAACTTTTTTTTAATAATATTGAGGTTTACACTATTTGTTGGACAAAACTAACAAAGTGTCACTTTCTCTGGGTAATTGTGATGGCATTTTTCACTATTTTAGAATTTTTACAAACCAAACAAACAACTGGTTAATCAAAAAGGAATCAGCATGATTCATTTTCATTGGTTACAGTCCGATACAACCAACCAAATACAACTTTAAAACCCTGCTTATAAGAATAATAGGTAATAATAATTATAATCATTTAATGATAAATAATTAGTCAAAACGGTCACAGGTGCCTTTTTTTGCTCTGAGGTAACTTATAAATTTTACATAAGTAAAATTTTCAATGCATGACAGTATATTTATTGTATGTGTAGTACTTTTACTCAAATAAAGCATCTGAATACTTCCACCAAAGTAATATTCTATATACCCAAATCATCCAATATCGCAAATATATTTGCAACATTTCAGTATAGACTTTCAGTCAGTAGAGTAAAACACATAACTGGTTTCACTGGATGTATTACACCTGTAATTTCTCTCAAAACAGAGCTGAGTTACATTGGCCTTGAGGAATTGCTAATCCCTTTAACAAATGTCAACTAATGTCTGATCAACACTGCCTAAGGGACAAACACTGTAGGGTCGTAGCTGTGCGTAGTTTTTTGTAAAACCAAAAAAAGTTCAGTTTGAAAACCAAGCATAAATTCCACTTTTTTGTTGCTTGTTGCTTGACCTAATGTTAACATAACCCCTTGTGGGATGAATAATAATAATAACTAATAATAAAAAATAATAATATAAGTAATAAAGTCCCTTAGAAGCTGACAAACTTCACTTTGCAGATCTCACGATCTCTTGAAAACTGGCTCCAAGTGTATTGGATAATTCATTATAATCACCTTGTTTAGATATTGTGATTCTTATATTCTGATGTAATGTATAGCTCCTATACAGTGGAGTTGGATGGAGTTCACATCTAGGCATCTCCTCCTGATCCTTTTTTTTTCTTTACCGTATGGAAAATTACACAAAATAAAACAATGTTGCTGTCCACTGTGCAACATCATATTGGAATTGTTGTGTCAGATATGAATTGGAGAATTTCAGGTCCTGTGATATTTTTTATCTTGTGCACACAGGTTATTATCTTCATCTAAGAAGGTGAAAGAAATTTCATTGAAGTTGATTCAGAATTATTCCTTTAGTTCAAATATTATATTAAT